GCACATTTTACTATGTAGCCTATTGTCAAGCCTATTGTCAGCTTACCAGCTGCTGATGTGCAATTTTGTACTTTTAAAAACCTTTGGCTTTAACATTGCAATTGCATGTCTAGCCTAGGTATGTTTTTAGACTTTTTTTATCACACCAAGCTGCTTTCCACAGTTTATAATCATTACCTGTTGTTCTTGAGATTCACTTCCATCATCATCTTCAGAATCCATTGCAGCAACTTTTGAGTTTGGGTGGAGCTGGAAGGTGCAATTGTGTAGGTGTGGCTTACTAATGCAAAAGAGCAGCCTCATCATCTGCGCATGCGCAAGTTTTCCCGCCAATTTAATTCATGGCTGCCACTTTGAAAGTACATTCCCTCTCTTTGAAGGATTCGGTATTGAATCGGTAAGCCATTATTACATTGAGAAGGAAAATGATTATATTTTTAATACATTTTTAGGGAAATAATGAATATATAAAGCTGCTGGACTCTGGTTAGTGAGAATTGTGTCAATATTTGTTCATCGATTTATTCATTTATTTATTCATTGATTTATTCATGACGTGTGTCTTAATATGTTTGATCACTTGTGGGGGCTAATCATCAAACAAAATGCATATTGTTATCATTTGCCTCGTTATAATAATAAATATAGTGGTCCTATATTTCTTGGGAATTGCCCTTTACGGGGAATTTTACAATAGCACATGAATTAATTAATTTAATTTAATTAATCATCTTTAGCACTGTCTGCTATTGAAAAATGAAAAGTGGCTTAATGGTACTAAAGGTAAAAATGGTAAGTTGAATTATTGTAGATATTCACCAAAAACACCATCGGAGGAGGAAAGGTAACAGTTATTAGAGACACCAGTATGAGTACTATAGTGTGTCTGTAGGGAGATGGAGGAGTAAAGTGTAAGAATGGCATATCATCATAGTAAAGTAATCTCATTTAAAAAACTGGTAAGCCAAAATACTTTGCAATATATATAACGTACAAAACTAATAGCAAATATAGTGGGGCTTATTTAGCATAGCGAATATACACGTAAGTGTTAAAAATATGTTCTCGTCAGTTTCAAGGAATATTTTTGTTGGCTATTTTGGACCTTTAGGCTCCTGTTTAGCTGTTATGAGCTTAACATTTACTGTAACAGCATCGTGATCCATTATCTTGTAGAGCTCTTTTATTCTTTCTGGCGTCAACTCCTCTACTTTAATGTGCTCTACTGCTTCATCTTGATTGACAGGTACAGGAGTATTCATCTCACAGTGAGTGTGTGGTATATCTCCAGGAGGATATACAACTGCAAATGTATCAATGACTGCCGATTTTCCATGTATTTTTCGCAGCTCTCCTGATTTGTATGCATCAGCAACCTTGATTCTACCAGCACCTAACTTTTCAGCCTCTCCTCTCCATTCTTCAACTGCCAGGTTAAAATCTCCCCCAATGATGATCGTCATCTTATGGATCTCAGCAACCTCTAGCATCTGGATGAAAAACTTTTCTATTTCAACCTTTTTATTTTCATTATTCTTTCCACTGTGATACCCATGGTACGAGACTAGAGTAAAACTGTGTGTTATGTCGCCATCTTTGATAGAGAAATGGACTCCATAGAAGCGACGAACGTCATCATCATAGTGACATTTTGATTTGGCATCTTTCAATGGTGGCGGTGTGTGCTTCATCTCTTTCTGAAAAACTACTGCTCCATCCTTATTGGCTCTAGGATTACTCTTTTGGCATAAATAGCAGAAATTTTCTTCATCAAATACACCACTTGCTTCTTGTATGCAGTATAAGTGCCCAGGGTTTCTGTCAGTGTAATATCTAATAAGCTCTCTACGCATATCACCATATCCAGATGTTCCTTTATCCTTATCATAACTACCGTGATTGATATTCCATGTAACAACTGTGATTTCATTGGACTTTGTAGCTGCCCCTTTTTCGACAGCCTCCTTTTTTATGCCTTTTCCTTTTGATAGAAAGATAAACTTCATAATTAATTCCTTCAATTAATATATCATCTGTACCTTTGGTATCATCTTCTAAGGAAATTTTATGCATGTCTTTACTCAGGTCATCATCATCAGGAATCTACAAATTATAAGAAACATGATTTATTGCATGCAACATTAAGCATACTCAGCATACTAGCATATGCACTGCATTAATGTACTGCAGTGCAGCTAAATGCTCTTTATGCATTCAGGAACATGCATTAATGGATGATAGAGCATACAAGCTACAATTCTAACCTTTTTAGCCATTGCTGCTAGCTGGAGGATATGGAGAAATAAAAGTGCAAGCTTGTACGTTGTCTATTTAGTCTCGCGTAGCCCAAATGTAAAAAAGGAAGATGGGTGAATGGGCGAATGGGCGTGGCTCATTAAATAAAAGGGTGGGGCTGGTAGTGTAAACAATTGGGCGTGACTAATTGAGCAATAAAGGTCTTTTCTCCAGTGGTTCTTCATCCACGCATAATGGCTACCCTCCCTCCATCTTTTCTAGGGACTCAACCAAAGTACGACCCCATAGCGGACAAAGCGAAGTTTGAAAAGGAGCTGGTAAGCTTTGTTCAGCACTAGAGTTAAAATTATCACTATTGTTTTTGAAATAATTTTGAACTGTAGAATGATGTTTTTAGCAAAGCACTACAAATAAATGAAGCTCCTATCAAAGAGAAGCATGTTAGAAGTAAGCCAGTTACTAGCACTGATAAAGCACAGTGTAGCCTCTTTATTAAGGACACCATTGGGCCCACACTACCTGTCCTTAATACAGAAGTGTCCTCATTTCAGAGGTACTTTTGTAAAGGCTTGTACCAATTGGGACATTATAAACTCCTCATTATAAAGGTGTCCTTAACTCAGGCCTAGTGTGTCCTTATGATAGAGGCTATACTATACCTGGGTTATAGGTCATATTTTAAGTGTCATTTGGAATTGCTTGCCTGTGGTTTATGATCTACATAGACTGTAGTTTACTGCTTGTTCCTCTCATTTAATTATCATACAATCATTATTTATTTAATTTTAAATATTCTTTAATGCAGGTGCTACCATTTCTACTTGGAGGGAGAAAAACTGCTCAACCTTTTGGAAGTGTGTTCGGAGCCATCCTCTAGAAAGACAGGGTGTGGTCTGTTACAAGTCTTGCTACATGATACATAAAATGTTAAGAGATGGCTACCCTGACGTAAGGAGAGAGGGTATGAGAGAGAAGGAGGAGGATGAAAGAGGAAAGAGAATCCATTTTCTTTAATTTGATTATTCTGTTATTTAATATAAACATTAATGACAGAGTCTCATATTTCTAAAATTTATTTTTATCTTCTCTCTTTGCTTTGCTCAGTAACAGCATTTACTCTGCATTCACTGTATCAAAATGTCATCTCGTCATTTGTTGATGTTTTCCATACTTGTTATCTTGTCATGGCCTTATTTGACTTTAATTATCAAGATATTTAATTATTATCATGTTAACATCTATTTATATCCTTTGCCGTCATAATTTGTAACCTTTTATTCTATTTATAGCTTCTTTATTGTTATCGTTTATTATTATTACTTTTTAGTATTTTTGGCTAGTGTTTGATACACGTATGGTAACTAGCATTCAGTTTCAGATTATTGACTGTTTACATTTTTAGAAATTTTGCTTTCTTTTACTTTTTGGAGTTTGTTATGAGATGTCATATTATTGTTAACAGATTAGTAGTGAAACCACATTGTGTAATCTCACCTTTCTCTCTCTCTCTCTCTCTCTCTCTCTCTCTCCCTCTCCTTCCTCCCCTAGAATGCTAAAAGGTCGGCGACACATGCAAAATTTGTCAGTGAACTTGCTAGACACTGGGTAAGATCTCAATGATATTGATGTTGAGATATCATTGATATTGATTTGTGTTAATGTAGAATCAACTCGGTGATCCAGTATCAAAGATGATTACATCATATCTCAAAGTGATTTGGAACAAGATAGCCTTGCATGTCAAAGTAAATTTTAATTATTAATTATTATTAATTTTATTATTAATTAATTATCGTCTCTTTTTAGAATCCAGACATTCCGTGTACATTAAATTTTACTGAAAAACCTTTTGTAGTACCAAGTGACATTGACTATGTGTAAGTAATTGTAGCCACACCCACTTTATTATTATTATTATTATTAATTATTTTATTTTAGCTTTCAATTAACAGTAGAAGTTTTTGATTACCAGTCGGCCATTCTTCACTTTTATGCAGGAGGTAAAATAAAAATTTTATGATAAATTATAATAATAATATTTCTCTCTGCCCCACCCTTTAACTCCGCCCCTTCACCAGTTAATGCTACTTTATCAGAACCCATAACTCAGGTCCAGCTACAGTACAGGATTGCTCCGTTTGTTCCTTGTATAAAGGAGTCAGCTGCTCTTTACGACCTAGTGGTCAAACTAATGAAGGCCCTACACACTAGTGAGATACACTTTAATTATATGTGTGGGCGTTTGTACTGTGTAATTTGCAGTTAAATTTAGTATAATGCTATTCAAATTATGTATTTTATTTATTTTATTTTAGGTTTACCAGCCGAAACATTAAATGGTCATAGAGAAAGATTTAACCGACAATACTCTGCGTAAGCACATGAATATTCATGTCATAATTTATTTATTATTTATTTATTTCTTCAGTTTAAGGAAGTATTTCGCTGAAGCAGCTAAACGCGACTACATCAAAAAGTTTGTCGATGTTCCCGTCCTACCCCCGGTTAGTTATGAAGCTATTAATTAAAGTCATTAATAATAAGCTAACTAATCAATGAGTCATTATATTATAATCAATTATATTTTCTCTTTAGGATCCTCCTAATTTTCTAATCGGCTCATTTGACGAGCTACATCTCTCCAATACCGTCTTCAGTCATGAAGGAGGACAGCCAATGATAGAGGCAGAGTATTCACTAGCTTCAACTGCAATCACTCCAGAGTCCAGCATTGACCCAAGATCAAGACTGAATACACTTGATGGGACACTTATTGATCTTGGAACGCCCATCACTGCACCAGTAAATGAAGTAATTACCTCACCTTGTTATTGTTGTTGTTATTGTTGTTGTTGTTTAGGAGACTGATAGTAGCAGGTTTGATTCAGTTTTTGGTCAGCAGGAGTTCACACCGTTTGTTAATGAGGTACCACCATCAGTACCACCACCAACCATCACTGATGAAAGGTACGGGTGCATGTACATGTATATACTGATACACTAAAATGATCATAACTCGAAAAATTGAAGTCGGAATTGACTCAAACTTTCTACATAGCATAAGTACATCAATATGTATCAGAAAATGTAATAAAAATTGGGGGTGATTTCGGAGTCATTTTTTGGAAAAAACCATGGGCTATAGTACAGGGAAATTTTCCAAAATTTGGAGTTTTTAAAAAGTGGTCATAACTTGAAAAATTGAAGTCGGAATTAGCTCAAACTTTCTACGTAGCATAAAGACATCAATATGTATCAGAAAATGTAATAAAAATTGGGGGGTGATTTCGGAGCTGTTTTTGGAAAAACCATGGGCTATAGTACAGGGAAATTTTCCGAAATTTAGAGTTTTTAAAAAATGGTCGTAACTTGAAAAATTGAAGTCGGAATTTGCTCAAACTTTCTACATAGCATAAGTACATCAATATGTATCAGAAAATGTAATAAAAATTGGGGGTGATTTCGGAGCCGTTTTTGGAAAAAACCATGGGCTATAGTACAGGGAAATTTTCCGAAATTTGGAGTTTTTAAAAAATAGTCGTAACTTGAAAAATTGAAGTCGGAATCGACTCAAACTTTCTACACAGCATAAGTACATCAATATGTATCAGAAAATGTAATAAAAATTGGGGGTGATTTCGGAGCCATTTTTTGGAAAAAACCATGGGCTATAGTACAGGGTATTATTATTATTATTATTATTATTATTATTATTATTATTGTTGTTATTATTATTATTATTATTATTATTATTGTTATTATTATTATTATTATTATTATTAATGTTTAGGGATTTATTGATTGAGCAGTTAATGAGAGAGATTGTTGAACTGAAGGATCGTATCAGAGAACTCGAAGAACAAAACCTCGCCAACTTAGAACTATTAGGAGCAGCGAGAACCCAAATGGAAGAAGTAATTTATTAATAACTAACTAGTTAATTAACTACTAGTTAATTAACAAGTGGTTAATTAAATTTTATGAGTTGAATAATAAAACTTTATTAATTTAATGGTGTCTTTTTACAGAAAAACAAAGAACTATCAGAATATAAAGAAGTCGCCGAACAAGCTTGCACCGTAATTTATATATCATTAACTATTTTTGTGATTTTGCCGCAATTTTTACAGGAGAACGTTCGTTTAAAAGAAATGATTGATGCAGAGAAATCAATGGGAGCAACACAAGTGGAATCAGATGGTCAGAGAAGCAATTGTTTTTAAAATTACCTTTTCTTCTAGAAAGAACGAAAGCTGTCGAACAAAAGTTCACGCAATTAAAAGACATTTATCAAAAACTTCGTAACGAGCACGTGCAGCTGCTTAGAACGAATGGGGACGCACAAAAGAAACTTCGTGAAACTGAGACCAAACTACTCAAGGAAGAGGCCAACAGTGTCGTGAGTGCTAGTAGAATCATGTGATAGTCATGTGGCATGTTTTATAGGAGCTACAGGGTAGGGTAGAATCACTTAATACAAGAATTGAAGTATTGAGATCAAAAACTGTTAGTTTATTGATGTTGCTTTTTTGTTTTATTAATTTTTTGTTTCTCTCTTAGTCTGATGAGACGTCCAAGATAACTTTACTTGAACAATCTTTGAAGGCGAAAGAAATTGTATGACACATACACATGTACATTACTTAAACTTCTCTCTCTCTCTCTCTCTCTCTCTCTCTCTCTCTCTCTCTCTCTCTCTCTCTCTCTCTCTCTCTCTCTCTCTCTCTCTCTCTCTCTCTCTCTCTCTAGGAAGCTACAAAGTTACAAGAGTCAACTAATTCATTGCAGCAACAGCTAGAGAAATCAGCACAAGCCAGCTCTCACTCTCTCCTTGGTTAGTATCCACAGTACATTCAAGTACATGTCATACCTAATGTATGTATATCTTTTATCCCAAACCCTGTATTATGGTGTAAAAGGTTGTCCTACGAGTTTGAAATAGCGCTAATTTCGCTGCTAATATCCGCTGCCGAGTGGTCAAACAGGTCAAACCAGTAACTCGCTCTTTTGCTTATAAAAGAGCGTTTTGCAGGCGCTTTTTTCAGTAGCAGTCTAAGCGAGAGCTCCTTCCTTATCACTAGCTGATAAAGATCAATAGCCCTAGCTTATCTTGCTGCTTTGACAGCTGTCTTTTTGAAGTTCCAGGACCTACCTGAAGATTAGCAAAGATTGATTGCCAAATCTGGTTACTGATTTATTACATGGTAGTAGTGAGTTGAGTTTGTGTTTCATCAAGTATTGTAACTTTGTAGCAAAATTTGCAATCTTTTTGCAAAAAGAACATGTCATAGCCACATTTGGCGATAATACTTTGTAAAATTGCAGTATCTTTAGCAAACCAGCATTAATATCCACTTTGGTAGTGGCTCTTTGACTGTGGATAGTGTTTGATCACGTGTTGCAAGTTTTTAGCAAAATTTGCAATCTTCTAGCAAAAAAGAACACGTCATTATCACATGTGGTGATAATGCTTTGTAAAATAGCAGCATTTCTAGTTAATATCCACTTTGATAGGCTCTTTGATTGTGGATAGTGCAAAATGGTACCTACTAGTGGTAATGATTGTCAAAATAATATCAATAATAATGGTAGCTGTGAAATGACACATGGAGGCTTACTGTGGTGTCATATCCTTTGTACATATACTGTCCATCCAACTACAAATGGTTAAATTATGCTTTTATCCTTCTCTTTGTAGTTGCGGTTGTTAGACAGGCTGAATCAATTGTTAACCAATCACTGCGAGATATGGATGAGTTTCCGAATGATACGATTGCTTGTGCACCTGGTAAATATAACAATAACAACAACAATAATAACAACAACAACAATTTTCTTTCTTTTTCCAGATATTCTTATTAAGAAAGCTGGTGAGGCTACTACTGTTACTATAAACCTCCACAGTACTTTTGCCAAATACTTGAAGGAACCAGCTCCAGCTGGTAAGAGAAGAGAGAGAGGGGGAGGGAGAGAGGGAGAGGAAGAGGAAAAGGAGGAGGGAGAGAGGGAGAGGAGGAGGGAGGGAGAGGGAGAGGAGGAGGGAGGGAGAGGAGGAGGGAGGGAGGGAGAGGGAGAGGAGGAGGGAGGGAGGGAGAGGGAGAGGAGGAGGGAGGGAGGGAGACGGGGAGGAGGAGGGAGGGAGGGAGAGGGAGAGGAGGAGGGAGGGAGGGAGAGGGAGAGGAGGAGGGAGGGAGGGAGAGGGAGATGAGGAGGGAGGGAGGGAGAGGGAGTGGAGGAGGGAGGGAGAGAGAGGAGGGAGGGAGATACAGAAGACTGAATCAATGGTTCTTATTATAATGGTATGGGGCATTATATAGAAATGGAGTCTCTTCTTGCTCTTGTCCCTGAAATGGCTCATCGTATGGTCCAGATCATACAGTACGGGATATCGAATGGACCTGTTGATCAAAGTGCGTTAACATATCACTGATATATCAATGATACTGATACTGATACCATTATTAACTGCACACGTTCCCTCTCTCTCTTTCTCTATAGAAGTGACTGCTAAATGCAAGGAGATTGGTAGCATTACCCTGAACTACTTGAGGGAGATGTATTCCAATGCTCCGAACAATATGAAGGTCAAGAGCGCTGCTGCCGAGCTCCAGCTGGCCTTGAAACAACTTTTGGGTGATATCGAGGTAGGCATACATGTACATGTACATTTTCTACATGTACATGGATTGGAGTGATGTTTAAGTTATTGTATCTTGTTAGGATCTGAAGCGTGAGAGGGCCGAAGCTGCCGAAGAGGAGAGCGCCCAAATGGGAGACATTGTTGATGAAGAGATGGCCAGCACTTCCATCGTGAGTCGTTATTTATTTGATTTTATTCATTTTTAAACAATAACAATAAAAAAGCCTATTAAAAGATAGCTAAGAAACTAATGATAATAATAACTGTTTATTATTATTATAAAGATAATACTAAAACTACAAAAAACGTCCTAAATCATTACATGCTGGGTCCTTGTTCCCTTTAATGACGAGGCCATTAAGCAGCTGCATTGACATTAGCTTTGGCCTTATCCTCTGGGGCATTTTCCCCTTTGGCGTTGTTCCCATTGGCGTCCCCTTTGGCGTTGTTCCCATTGGCGTTGTCCCCATTGGCGTTTTCCCCTTTGGCATTGTCCCTATTGTCGTTGTTTTCATTGGCGTTCTCCCCTTCGTCATCGTTGGGAATGATGATGACAAGTTCGATAATGTCGTCTGTAAATAGAACAATGATAACGTTATTTTCACCTTTTCCCCCCTTCATGGTTCTAGGCTGTTAATGAGGCTGCGAGAAAGATTGAGGAGATCCTGAAGCGTTCTCGTGAAGAGCAGTCCGGTGTTAATCTTGAGGTCAACTCTCGAATACTTGATTCCTGCACTGATCTGATGAAGGCTATCCAAGTCTTGATTGTCCGTTCTAAGGAACTCCAGCAAGAAGTTGTCGCTGAAGGACCTGTGAGTTTCAGAGAGAGAGAGAGAGTAGTTATGACGAATGGCTAGATCTCTTCTGCTTTTAATTGAGACCAGCTACTCCCTCAAGGGCTGCTGTTTTACCCCTTCCTGTTTTTCCTTTCTTAAAACAATTTTTTAGAAATAGTGTCGAGAAGCAAATCTGCTAAGACAAAAAAGTCTTCATAATGATCATAACTGCGTTTAGCACCACGACCCTCTTAGGATTTGTGAATAATAGTGCTTTGCTGTTTACGACTTAAGAATTGGTTTTTAAGAGCATTACCATATTTGGTATCGACTTAAGACCATTATTATAACTAATTGTTGTTATTATTGTTATTGCTAGTTATTATTATTAATTGTTATTGTTATTGTTATTGCTAATTATTATTCTTATTATTAGGGTAGCAACGCTAAAGAGTTTTACAAGAAGAACCACAACTGGTCCGAAGGTTTGATCTCTGCCGCTAAGCAAGTTGGCCATGGAGCGTCAAGGCTTGTGTACGTCTATACTTCAACATAATAATCATTGCGTGGAGAGACGAGAGATCTTATTTGTTTTATGTATTTCTCCTTCTCTCCCTCTAGTGATTGTGCTGATAAGGTTGTCAGTGGCAACGGAAAGTTTGAGGCGTTGATTGTTAATTCTAAGGACATTGCCGCCTGCACTGCCCAGCTGGTAAAAACCCGCCACTTTTAAATATCAACGAGTAACTTAACCTCATCTCTATCCTTAGGTTGCTGCTTCTATGGTCAAGGCAAGGGCTCGCAGCGAGAGGCTCAAAGCTTTGAAAGCTTCTTCTAGGGCTGGTATGTGTCATTTTGCTATTTTGTGTCGTGTGATTTTGTGCTATTTCTTTGATGTAGTGTCCGAAGCTACTGGATCTGTTGTTGCCTCTGCTCAATCTGGCGCTGATATTAAAGCTGAAGGTTTGTACACGTAGTTTGTGTTCTCTTTATCTTTCTCTCTCCCCCCCCCTCTCTCTCTCTCTCTCTCTCTCTCTCTCTCCCTCTCTCTCTCTCTAGCTGCCAATAAAGTTGATTTCTCTAAGCTTAGCCTGAACCAAACCAAGCGCTATGAGATGGAATCTCAAGTAAACTATTATTATTATTGTTTTATTATTGTTGTTGTTGTTGTTGTTGTTGTTGTTTAGGTCAGGGCCCTTGAGTTGGAGAAGGAGCTTGAGATGGAGAGGACCAAACTTGCTGAGCTGAGGAAGATCCACTACCATAAGGCCGGAGCCTCCGAAGGCTGGGACGAAGAGGAGGTATGAAGTAATGGATAACATAAATAAGTAGCTGCAATCGATTTTCCTAATAAGGGAATGTCCAATATGTATTATGAGATCAGTTACAGTCAAAATTATTACATTACGATGACTGTAGCTTGAGAGAACACTGTCTTATGCTAGTAGAACATTCAATCTTTATCACTATTAGTTGTACTATGAATACCTTTCTTTGCCGCCATTTATCTATTGCAAAGTTATAGCTGTCAATCGAGAGCTCCTTTATTATAGCTCTTGTGTTTTGTTTTCTAGGGTGCCAACTAATTTAAACTGCCCTTTGCCCTGCTGGGCCCGCATTAATTTCAAGTATTAATTGTGAATTGTTTCAAAGGCAGTAAGTCGTTTTCATTAGAACTCAGTAGTGACACTAATAATATAATTGCTGTGAATATTCATTTGATTTTAGTTGATTTTATATCTCTTGAGAATTGATTTTTTGATGTAGTTTTAATCTTATGGCAAACACGACATATCTCCTGTAGCAACTGCCTCTCATGCTAGCAAGTTGCAATTTTATCTTATATTGCAGGGCCGCAGTATTCAAATTATCTTTTTAAACTTTTAATGAAAGAAGAAACTCAACCAAAAAGGAAAAAAGGCCTAAAACAATGTGAAGTACATGTAACTATAGCTATCTATGGAAAAGGGCCTATTAATGTTTTAGTTATATAGTTATAGTCTTTTAGTCCTGGGCTTGCACTTGAATGGTTTCCATGTTTCATTCAAGGCTTTTGCTCAACCTCCAAGACAATAGTTGGGAACTCATCTCCATCTGGATCTTCCTCAACAATGCCCTTTCCATCTTTAGTAAGGAGAGTCCCGGTTTTACCATCAAACAGCAGGAGTGTTGGGATGCTGTGGACATGGAAGGTTTGACTCAGCTTGTTCTAGAAACAAGAGCATAATCTCAATTGCAAAGAATCAAAAACTCACGCAAACCCTCTTATCTTCATATGGAACTGCAAGCCAAGGCATGGTATCAAAGTGCTTGTTGAATTCGTTCTCATCCCTGTCAAAACTGATGAAGACTATCTCCAAGGTCTTCTTACCAAGAGCAGATTTTTGTTGGATTTTCTCGTACCAACGGGCAACCTTTTTTGTAAACTCAATGCAAGCTGGGCACCAGTAGGCACTGTAGAGGAGCCCTACTATCATTCCTGGCTCGTCAATGGCGTCAAGGGATACCTTGTCCCTTGATCCCTTCTTCCCAAAGCTGAAGTGACGGATGCTTGAAAAGAGTTTGCTTGTCATGATACCTCGATCTTGACTGAACTGAAGTGTCAGAATATGAATCTTGCTGAGGCTTATATAAGCAGCTGCATGAATACCTTCATTACTTGTCATTTAGCAGAATTTGCTGTGAACACTAGATCACCATGTGCTCAGCTGCACTGATGCATGCATCAATCAGTCTACTAGTAATTAATGTTAGAAGAAATAACTTGAAAAATTTTTTACTATAAAACGGCACTTATAAAAATACAAATATATTTTTACACTCTGCTACTATATCTATATACTTAAAAGTCATAAAAAGGAGTTTTTTATTCAAGCTTTTATACCAACAAAGCTCAGAGATCCATCTTCGTATTTCTTCAGAGTATCCTTTACCGTCTCTGCAGTAATTTCAGCATCTTCAATGATGGCCTTCCTTTGCCCAGAGATATCAATGACTATCAGGAGAGGACGTCTTTCAGGAAGATTTATAAAACTTGCAAGGGAATCTTGCATTCCTTCTTCGTCTTCCTTTTTGTCGGTATACATGAAATAAAACCCTTCATTCTTTTTGATATATTCAGTAGCTATAGGGAGCAATACTTCCTTTGCTGTCTCGGGGCTAGTGTCACCTAAAGGTGAGATTGAACTATAACAACTGTAAACTATAAGAATTGTGTAAGTTACCAGTAAACCAGATCAGGTGAGGGTGGTCATTCACATCGCCTGTGTTCTCTTCTTTCAATACCACGACTGGTTTCCTGTGCCAGGGAAATTCCTAAACAAACAGGAGAAGGGACAACATCAACATCAACATACAAACATGAAAATAACTAATCATTAATCATGCATGTGGAGTTACACAGTGTATTATATGATTATGACATAACTTACATGACCATCAGGGTCGCCACTAACTCTACCCCTTCCATTAGTGGATATAACTTTATTTGTTTCACAGTCAAATATGATTAAAGTTGGAATTCCTATCATGGGCGCATTGCAACATATAAGATTAAATTCAGATCTACTTTATACCTTCAACTTCAAAGTGTTTGCTCAGTTTTTTGCCAGCTGGGTCTCTAAACTTCACGGCATGCCAGGGCATGGTTGAAAAGTAGCCTTTCATATCTTCTTGAGAGCGATCGGACGAGACAAAAACAATTTCAAACTCTTTTCCGTCTGATTTTAATTTATCAAACGTCTTGACCAACTGTGGAGTGAACGTCTTACAAGGCCCACACTACATGTATAAAAAAAAATAATAATAATAAATAAATAAATATAAAGGGACTTAAGTGAATATACATGCAAGACTGATGATTTGCATACCCAATGTGCTGAGAAGTAAAATCCAACAGTTTTCTTTTTCACGTCACTCCAATTCAATTCCTTCTCGTCCTTGTTGATGAACTTTGCACTCAACAGGATTTCCTCTAACGTTGGAGGAGCCCACGGGAAGTCTTTCCCGTCTGGATCGTCCGTCACAACCGAGCGGCCATCTTGTGTTATAGTCTTACCATCCTCTCCGTTAACAAAGACAAGGGTTGGGATGCCAGACACTTTGAATTTCTTGCTCAACTCGGTCTGCAAAGAAACAAAATTAAGTTTGTAATGAATGATCCATTCTTTTCACCTATACCTTTTTATCTCTATTCTCATATGGGAGTGCAAGCCAAGGCATCTCTGAGAAATACTCATTAAAAGATGTTTCATCTCTATCAGAGCTAACAAAGACAATCTCCAGCTTATCCTTTAGTGCTCCACTGGTTAGTTTAGTGTACCATTCAGCGAGTCTAGGAGTGAATCCCCGGCATGGTGGACACCAGTGGGCACTGAAGTACAGCCCTACCACCTTGCCTTCTCCGTCAAGACTACTCACTGGTACTTTATCAGATTTGCCACGGGAAAGTTCAGCAACACCAGAGAAGAGAGAGCTCGCCATTTTTTGCTTTATTGTGGAGGAGCTGGAAGAGGGAGGAGCTGTAGCTTGTGCGTGGGCGTTAAACTAGGTGGGCCCTGGGGCTAATGTGTACGTGGGCGTTAAAACAAATTAAAAAAAATAAAATTCAATATTATTATTGTATTTAAAAAGTTAAGTTATTGCAGGACCTCAAATGACAAAGATTTTTCTTCAAACTCTTTAAAAAAATTTTTGACAGCCTCTTGGTTGAGCTCAGGGCCACCATATACAGCCTTGCTTGGACCAGCATCAGAAGATATATTAACAATGACAAGAGAAGGAGTGTCAGATATCTGGAGTAATTTCCGTATGTTGCTTTCCAAGGAATTATTAATAGTGTATAGAAAACACAGAGAATCATTGTTATCTTTGTTTTTTTCGAAATATGGCGCTGCTACAGGAGTCATTGCTGATTTTGCAGCCTTTACCTGATCTTCACTGCCATCTTGAAAAGAAGACAAATCCAATTAAAGCAATACTATAAACTCCATGTAATTACTACAGACTACGTGTATGAACATGCAAGGAATTATTTCCAAACACTAAGCTGACATAGTTACTATAATCTAATGTACACTGGCTTGTTTGTCATATATTGCTTATTACTGTTTACTAGAGACACTCAAACTCTATCAGACAGTTCATAAGGTTTCTGATAAGTTTATGCATGCATTCAATTTGTATGGTAAGACCATACATGTATGTACATGCATGCAACTAATTGCTGCATCATAATTATAGATTCATTATCAGCTTGTACCTGTAAACCAAATCATGCTAGGTCGTGTGTTAAGATCGTCAACCTTTCCATCATGAAGGACTTCAACTGGTTTAGGATACCACGGGAAATCCTGAAAGAAAAACAATGCATATATGGATGTATATATTTATACAACAATAACAATCTTGTTTTTCTTTGTATGGCATGATAATATCATTAGGCATGCTTGATTACTTCTCCTTTGGGATCAATGTTAATCATCCCTCGACCAGTCTCAGTGATCACGTGACCAGTCGTACCATCAACTATGACTAGAGTTGGTATACCTACATTCATATGAAACTATATAAACAATAATAATTTGTAGCTAATTACTATGATATGTAGTTGTGTGTTTTTTTTTATTTTTTCTCAAATTATACTTTCCATGATCATGCCAGTAATAATGTATTTGGTATCTTACCATCAATCTCAAACTGTTTTGCAATCTTCTTGCTTGCCTCATGACCAAATGGTATAGCATACCAAGGCATTGATGAGAGATGCTCCTCAAAGTCTTCCGCTGAATGGTCAGATGAGGAAAAGATGATCTCAAACTCCTTTCCATCTGTCTTCATTTTATTGTAAAAAGTAGCAAGTTCTGGCGTAAATGTAATGCAAGGTTGGCACTATAGAACGGGAGGATGTTTTCAAAATGTGACATCTCCTTGATATGCAACATCATGAGAGCTTACTGTAATTAGCTATTCTTACCCAATGAGCTGAAAAGTACAGCCCTACTGTCTTCCCCTTGCAGTCACCCCAGCTAATTTCCTTTCCTTCCTTATTAGTGAACTTACAACTAGACATTATCTCTACCAGTGTCTCTGGCTTCCAAGGAAACTTCTCTCCATTTGGGTCTTGAGATATGACAGAGCGTCCTTCCTTTGTGATTAAGCTACCGTCGGCCCCACTCACAATAACTAGTGTCGGTATCCCTTGGATTTTATATTTTTTACTGAGGGTAGCCTGCAATCACAAAAATGCTTAGCTAAATAAACATTCAGAACTATTTTATACCTTCATATCTCTTTCAGAGTATGGTAATGCAAGCCAAGGCATCTCTGCAAAATATTTGTCAAAAGATTCTTCATCTCTATCAGAGCTAACAAAGACGATCTCCAGCTTATCCTTTAGTGCTCCACTGGTTAGTTTAGTGTACCATTCGGCGAGCTTAGGAGTGAATCCCCGGCATGGTGGACACCAGTGGGCACTGAAGTACAGCCCTACCACCTTGCCTTCTCCATCAAGACTACTCACTGGAATACTGTCTGTCTTGCTGCTGTTTAGAGAAGAGACTCCAGTAAAGAGAGAGCTTGCCATGGCCCCTTGCTATCAGCTTGTGGTTGTGCTGCTTTCAGTTTGCTGCTCGAGTATGAAACCGGAAGTGAAGTTCTAATCCACTGAGGTCATTCATAATCACATCCGGTTTCGTTTTCCCGGGAAAATGCCCGCGAAATGTTTTTTGAAAATTATTCGCCAAACTTTTATTTTCCTTGACTATAATAATGCCTCCCATTCTACTGAGCAATAAACCTATTATTTATTTATTATAATTTAAAATTATTTTCATCATAAATAAGAGAACATTATACATGTAATGATGACACAAACAAATTAACAATATATTAAATAACTATTATTATTATTATTATTATTATTATTATTATTATTATTCATTTTCGTGGGTACAAGTGTTTTCCTTGAGCGAGTCTTTCCTGTTGTGCCGAGTAATCCTCACTAGTTATCAAGTCTATGATTGCTTGGATTAAACGAGAAGTGGGCGTCACTGAGTGGGAGGGGCCAGGAGAATAAAGAGTCATCTGAGGTTGTGCAATTTTCTGCTTTAAGACGGAGTCCAGCTGATGACGCATGTCCTAAAATTACAAAAAGTCATTTAATAAAGGAAATTCTTTTTCTTTATTGTGATACCTTTACGAGATCAGCAATGCGTGTTGGAGCCTGAAATATGATCCACTTGTCAACAGTGATTGTCTCTTGGTCAGCATCTCTTCCAGCTGCTATCTCACCACCAAAAAACAGAAGAGGGAAAGGAGGAATGACAGAAGCATCGTGAATAAATATGGCAGTACTTTTAACCTAGAGAGAGAGAGAGAGAGAGAGATGATATTTTAGTCATCAGTTCATCATCTTCTACTTTTGTATGATAAATGAGAAATTGTGATTTAAAATTTCCTTGTTCAGAGTTGACGGATTTCGGATGAAACTTAACCTTTCCATCCTGCTGCGTATACAACTTTGCTACTCTGAAATAGAGAGATTGTTCAAAAAGTATGGTATGGTATTAGAACACAATTTAGTAAAATAACATACCTTTTTCCAGGAGTGATTTTAGCTACATTTGGGTAGAGCCCAGCGCATAGAATAGCTTTTATTAACTTGACATTATCTAAAGAAATCAAATTAGAATCAGTATCAAATCAGAATCGTGTTAACTAACCTGAGTTGTGATTAGCTGATGGTGTCTTTGGATTAGAATCAGACACAAAACCAATCTCGTGCAACAAACCAGCAAACTGTCTCTTCATGTTACTTAGTAACTATAATAACCAGTAATTAATAACTAATACTTAATAACCAGCACTTAATAACTAGTACTTAATAACCAGTAGATAATAATAACCTCTAAAGTGTTTGATGACAGGAAGTGGTCCCAGCAGTATTGACGTGTGTTGCCATGACGACGGCTTTGTTCCCACCCATTAAAAGCATTCAGTAATGCAATGTGGTCACTCTCACTACCCCGAGCTAACTCCTTCTTCATCCTGTCTGCCTCTTCTTGTTTGTGCTATTAAAAAACATTACAATTATCATTTACAAATCATATCGTCTTACCAGTGGTATTACGAAAGGTTCTTTAAACCCAAGAGCAGCTGCAATGGTCAGTACAGGGTCCAGGCAAGAAAGCATTGCCCCAAAAAGGATCATTCTACCAACCCTTGGGTGAACAGGGAGGTTAGCTAAGTGATAGCCTAATGGGGTTAACTCCTCATTTACATCCAGAGCATTCTGAAATAAAAAATTGATAAAAAAGTCTAAATTGAAATTAAGTAAAGTGGGCGTGGTTCATTTTTCAAATTAAGTGGGTGTGTTCTCACTAAGTTCTTAAGCAGGTCTACTGCGTCGTGGATTGATTTAGTTTCCGGAGGCTCAAGAGCTTTGGAGAGGAACGGCTCGGCCTTTCCTAAATGAAGCATCTTAATTTGGAGGACGAGTTCTTCGAGTGGAGTCCTTAGCATTTCTGGCAGCTGGAACTCGTTCAGTTTAGAATATTGATGAGAAGTGAAGAGGTAGAAGCAGTGGCCTGGTTGGACTCTAAAAGAGACTGAATTGAAGCAACTTTAAAAATTTGCAAAAAAATCTAATTTTGATCAGAATCAGTTCAAACTTTCTACACAACATAAGAACATGTATATGCATCAGAAAATGTAATAAAAAATAAGAATTCTCACCTTTTCAATTTTGGCAAAATTTGGCCCGAGACCATGTACTATAGCCCATGGTTTTTTTCCAAAAAATGGCTCCGAAATCACCCCCAATTTTTATTACATTTTCTGATACATATTGATGTACTTATGCTGTGTAGAAAGTTTGAGCTGATTCCGACTTCAATTTTTCAAGTTACGGCCATTTTAAGAAAATGCCCAAATTCTGAAAAAATCCCTGTACTATAGCCCATGGTTTTTTCCAAAAAATGGCTCCGAAATCACCCCCAATTTTTATTACATTTTCTGATACATATTGATGTACTTATGCTATGTAGCAAGTTTGAGCTGATTCCGAATTCAATTTTTCAAGTTACGGCCATTTTAAGAAAATGCCCAAATTCTGAAAAAATCCCTGTACTATAGCCCATGGTTTTTCCAAAAAATGGCTCCGAAATCACCCCCAATTTTTATTACATTTTCTGATACATATTGATGTACTTAAGCTACGTAGAAAGTTTGAGCTGATTCTGACTTCAATTTTTCAAGTTATGGCCATTTTAAATGTAACCAGCTCTTGAGCCATCAGTCATTATTAGCCTCAATATAAGACAATGGAGGAATGAGTGGCCATAATAATTATATTACCGGGTGGAGTGAGTCATAACTATTAATAACTATTAATAGCATGTTAAGCTGCTCTCACCCCAAAAGGGGTGGAGTCAACCACGCCCATAAACTAACCTTCCTGCCCGTCCTTTTCTTTGAGTGGCAGCTGCTTTACTTTCCCAAACCGACTCTAGACAAGCTAACTGATTCGCAACATCATACGTCTACCAATAAAATAAATAATTAATAGAGTACATAATGTATGTGTAATAAGGATATTTTATTATTAAAAGTTTTTTTAAAGTACATGTACATCGACCATTTTGTGTCACAAAACTTTCTTGAAGAGCTACAGCAAAAAATTAGCAGAAAAAATCACAAAAATATTCAGCTCATGTATTGTATAAATGCAAAATGAACCCACAAAATTTCTCTAAAATTTTTGTTGCAAATTCACAAAATTTTAAAGGCTACTCAGTATAATTAAGACTCACAGTTTCCTTGACTTTCCCTCCATCGATAACAAAGACCACATCATCAATGGTGATACTAGTCTCTGCTATATTAGTGGCTATTATAATCTTACGAACCCCAGGGGGCGGGCGATCAAAAACCTACATGTATAATGTAAACGTAATAATGGAAGCCACACCTACTTCCTTCTGGGATGTAGTTGGCATCATAGAGTGAAGTGGAATTATCAAAAATTTCGAAGAATTCCGAAACATTCCGTCGCTCCGAAGCAAATCATGCAACTTGCTGATAGTGTCCCAGCCTAATTAAAGGGGTGGCGTTAATTAATTATTCATAGGCCCTCCCTCACCTGGTAGAAACACCAGGATCGCTCCGTCCTCCATATTGAAGGATATGTGTTTTAAAAGAGAGTGGATTAAATGGAGGTCAATCTTCTCCAGATCCATGTCTCTCAAAGCTGATGCCACATGAGGTCCATATTTCTGATCTCTCTCAACTTCATTTAAATATTCCTCAGCCTCCGCCTTCAGTGATTGCTCCTCCTCCCACTCTTGTCGACCACGCCCATAACGAGACCAAAATGGGCGTGACCTTCCCTGGTTCTGAGGTGGACGATATCTAGTTTTTGAAAATAGACATGGACTGTATAGGGTTGGTTCTTTACCTTGTTAGTGAGATGACGTCTTCAAGAAAGTGTTCTTTCACGGGGAAAACACGACCAGGAATAGAAATAATGGGAGCATTATCTAAAAATAAAATAAAATAAATAAATAAATAAGATAATGTACTGACTGAAGTAATTTGAAAATAGTTCTGCATTAATGGTAGCACTCATTAGGATGACCTTAAGATCAGGCCTAAATTATAAAATATATTCAGCATTGATACCTCATTATAATCTACAGTAGGTACTTACTTCTTTGGTATTATGTCTTTCACAATTATCGACAGGAAGTCAGTTATGTTGTTTCTCTCGTGAACTTCATCAAGTATGAGATGAGATACGTTTTGAAGCAAACTACATGTACATGTACATGTACATAAGAGAAAGTTATAATGAATTAAAATTAGAGGTACACATGTACATACTCCTAATACACTTACGGGTCTGAGGCCAGTCTCCTGACCATTATACCAGTGGTACAGTAAAGTATCGACCCATTGTCCCTCGGCAGTGTACCCTCTAGCCTGATCTGGTAACCGACTGAAGTACCTAAGGACTCCGCCCGTTCTGCGGCTACCCTCTGAGCCACTAGTGGGTGTGGTTAATATACTCAATAATAAAAGTAGCACCTGATATTGCGCTGATCCGTCTCGGCTGGGTACAGATCACATGGCATTTGGAGCCACACCCTCTTCCTATAGCATCGTCCAATAGAAACTGAGAAATCTGGAGGAAAAGAGATAATTTTCAAAAGATATAAAATATATCAATTCTCAATCCACTGCTATACAAGTATCTAGATGTACAGTACGTTACAAAAAGACGGTACATTGTACATGTACATTGCACCTGTGTTGTTTTTCCACAGCCGGTTTGTCCACTAATGACAATGACCTGATTATCATTAACTGCTTGAACTATCTCGTCCTTCATGCCCCAAGAGGGGAGGGCCTGGCGGAATTCCTAGACAAGGAAAGGTTTTCATAGTTACCACCCCACAGCATATACCATCATTTTTTTATAGGCAGGTCGACTCTCTCTTTGTCTCTGTTCTTTTAGCAGTTCTTCGTCAGTGTGAGTAGGTGTGGTCAAAATAGGTGTGGCCACTGAGGGATATTGGAGTGAGGCACCTTCTTTTTCCTGTCCATCAGATTCCTCCATTGCTAGACAATAATAATTATTAATAATTAATATCAGTCTCTCTCTCTCTCTTTCTCACGTTCGTTTGTTCCATCAATATCTTGGAGTATTTGCGTTATTTCTCTTTCTGATCTTCTATCAATTGAAACAACAGCTCGCTAATTATATATAAAAGATATTATTTATTTATTATTATTATTTGCATTTACTTCATTTCTTTCTCTTGCTACTTTACGTTCCTTCCCTCGTTTAGCATAATACAAACCGATATCCTTCCCTTTTAGTCCTGAAGGGTGACCACCCCTACCACCTCCTCCTCCACCCCTCCCTCCTCCTCCTCTCCCTCCCCTCCCTCTCCCTCCTCCTCTACCTCTTCCTGGCCAGGCTCCTCTTCCATAGTCTGCCATGATTGATTTAAAACTAAAGTTGAAGCTAATAAATCATGTTAAAGCTCCAAGCTACCTTCTTTGCAGTCTGACTGAACTTGAAAACGAGTAGGAGAGAGATGGGGTCCTCCACATGCCACAATGAGGTGAGTATACGGAGCCAGGGATTGGAGTGATTTCTCATTCACTTGCCTGTAATAAAAATAGCATTCTCCGTATATTTTAAGTATACGGAACCCAGAAGTTTCAAGTTTCATGCAGGGCAGTATACTGAAAACTATAGCTAGTTTACTGAGCTTTTACTAATAATGAAAGAATATAAAACCTGTCTATGTAGCAATAGCAATGATAATAGATCTAAGAGGAATATATAAATATATTTATTTAATAATAAGTTGCGGTATGTTATAATAAAGATCAAGAGACTCAGGATTAGATAGAGCTCCTCTCTCCTTCACGTCTTGCCCAGAGAGAATCTTCTTGACAGCAACTTCAACTTTCTTCCCATTCATTGTATACTAACAAAAAACACAAAATATATACTTTAAATATATTGCTAGAAAATCAGCAAAGATTTTTCAAAAAGGTTGGATTTTGACTGCAATTGAGGGTCAAAATATTGAGCTTAATAGCAAATTTAAATACATATATATCTTTCTATTTCCTTACTGGTATATCGCTAGTTTCTAAAATGAGAGCTGGAACATGTCGTGCTGATAGCTCTCCTCTAATGAATGTCTTCACTTTCTTAACAAACTCGTCATTAAAACTATCAATAATTAGAGGAAGATTAAAGGGGCATACCCATTGCTAGTTTGTTTCCTTACGTATAGCCAGGGTTCATTTTAATAAAGAGAATCACTCGCTCATCAGATCCAACCAATTGCCCGACACATAAACTGTCCTTAACTTCATCAAACTTCTCAGCTATTATAAAATAATAAAAATTTACTATTATTATTATTCATTATTTTACTGATGTTATAAATCTCGGCACTTCCAAACCTCACGCCACTAGGATTGAGCGTTCCATCACTAGAAAATAAAATAAATTCAAAAGAAATAAAGCAGCTGCTACTTTACCTCCTCCCCAGCATTACAATCCCACCAGTTCTTGAACTAATCTTACAAAAATCACCATGAGCCCACACCCCTACAAGTATATTATATAAATGTCATTATTATTATTTTTGCTAATGGTGTTGTTGTTACTATGTGTGTTGTTATTGTTTTGTTGTTTGTTGTTGTTGTTTTTACCTGAATAAACTGAGAAGTACGATTTTTGGTATCTAATGGAGTCATCATCGTTCCAGAAATGAGTTGGCATTGAAGGGAAAGGTTTAGTGCACACCAACTCGCCACTCTCATCGTATACCGGCTTACCTTGTAAACAAATAATGTAAACAAACAAACAAACAACAAGTATATATTATATATTATGTTTTTGTGGTGATTATTCATACCATTTTTGTCCCAGCATTCAACTGCCATTCCAATGTTCCTGTACTGTATCTCCCCTCTGTGTACTGGGAGGGTCGGGTTCTGACCAGCAAAACAAGATATGATGTCGGTACCACCTAAAATAATAATAATAATAATAATAATAATAATAATAATAATAATAATAATAATAATAATAATAATAACAATAATAATAATAACAATAATAATAACAATAATAACTAGATGAATGTAAAACATTAAGGACATCAATATGTTTTCGATAAAACCATGGGCTATAACAGGGCATTTTTCCGAATTTGGAGTTTTTTAAATGGTCATAACTTGAAAAATTGAAGTTGGAATCAGCTCAAATGTTCTACCATGCTTAATTTTGTTAAAGGAAAAAGATTCTTAATGGCTCCATTCACCTCTACAACTTGTGATTACTATGGTGAATGGGAATTAAGCTCGCTATTATAAGCTAGATCTATCACAACTTCCTTTAGTCACAAGACAAAACAACATTATGATCAGACCATCTCTTTTGTTTTCTCTCTCTTTCTCTCAGAATCATTCTTGAGGATTCCTCTATCAGTATCTCTAGACTTCTTCTTCATTATATATCTCCTTTCGTTTCGTTCTCATATTCTATTCATCTAAACTCTCTCTTAGCTAGTGTTCTTATTGTGAAATGGCAGCCAAACCATCTTCATCTTCTTCTCCTGGTCTCCTCAAACTGGAGGAGCAGCTCACTTGCTCAATATGTCTTGATATCTACACTAATCCTAAGTCCTTGCCTTGTCTACATTCATTCTGTCAGGATTGTCTTGATAGGTTACCTCAAGATAAGAAGAATGAGACCTATTACCTCTCTTGTCCCACTTGTCGTCATTGTACAGAATTACCAGAAGAAGGAGCAAGTGGTTTTCCTATAGCATTTCACCTCAACAACTTTAAGGAGGTGCATAGTTTCATGAAGAAAGTAGCTGATCCTCAACAGGTCACCTGTGACAACTGTACTACAGCTAATGCCACTGGATACTGCAAAGACTGCAGTAAGTTCATGTGTGATGATTGTATCTCTACCCACAAGAAATGGGCTGACTTTTCTAACCATCAGCTAACAAGTCTTGATGAGGTGACAGCCTCTGATGTCTCTTCTACTTCTCAATTGCTAGCTCCAGCTAAACAGGAGGCAACCCTCACCTGCTCCACTCACCACAAGCCACTGGAGATATTCTGTGAAACATGTGATACTGTCATTTGTCAGCACTGCACAGTTCGAATGCACAAAGACCATGAGTATGATCTAGTCAATGACAGTTACACTAAACACTGTCAGGAACTGGAGGCCTGCTTAGGACCGGCTAAAAAAAAAATGGAAGAACTTAAGGAAGTCAAATCTACTCTAACAGAAACAGAGGGAGAGGTCAGAGAGAAAGGAGAAGGAATATTAAAAGAGATAAATGAAATGGTGGAGGAAATGATTGCTGTTCTTCGTCAGTCAGAGAGGAAACTGACTGAGCAGGCAAAGAGGGTCACTGATGCTAAACTAAAGGTGCTGTCAGAGCAAATGAAATCAGCAGAAATGAGTTTGAGTGTTCTGAAGGATGTTGAGAATTATGTGGCACAGAGTCTGAAGACAGGCAGTCCTCAACAAGTCCTGAGGTTTAAGAAACAGATGATGGAGCGTATGAGTGAAGTTACTGCAGGGATCAATGTGGAGGAGTTACATCCAAAGGAAAAAGCTGACTTTGTATTGAGTAAAGATATCAAATCGCTACATCACATTGGAGATATTGTGACCTACTCATCTACTGCACTACAGCAGTGTAGAGTGAAGAAGATTGATCATATTACACTTTCTGGCAATGTGTTTTCGTTTTCACTAACAATAGAGGCACCAGATTCATCTCTTTTGGCTGTTCCTTCCTCGTCTCTGAAGTGTAGTCTGGTACCAGCTGGCGAAGATGATGATGCATACACCAGCACTGATTCTGATGAAGATGAAACTACAGTCACTACCACCAGCACTGATCCTGGAGTGTATAGGATACAGTGTAACCCTTCAACACGTGGTACTCATACAGTAAAAGTACAAGTATATGATGTACACCTTGAGGATACCTCACTAGTCATCCCTTTCAATCCTTACCTTGATAACATCACTCCAGTACGTACTACAACTGAGCTTGAGGGTCCCTCTGGAGTTGCTGTAACTGATGATAATCATGTTATTATAACTGAGAATGATGATGACTGTGTAACAATACTGGATAGAGAAGGAAAGAAAGTGAAATCATTAGGAGGGGAAGGAGGAAGTGGTAATGTCAAGTTTTCTGAACCTCGTGGTGTAGCTATTACTCCAGACAAATTCATTCTTGTATCTGATAATCAGAGGATCCAGAAGATAAGCATGGATGGAGACCTTATAGCATCAGTTGGTGAGGAGGAAGAGGAGGAGGAGAGTGAGGAGGAGGACGAGGAGATAGAAAAGGAGAGAGAGGTGCATGATATTGGGGAGAAGATGGTGGAGGAAGATGAGGGAGAAAAGGTTCCAGGGCCACTACAGTTCAAAAGTCCTCATGGTATAGCCATTTCTCCTATAACAGGACAGGTTTATATTGCTGATAGTGGTAATCATCGTATACAAGTCTTGGATCCTGATCTAACCTTCTCTCATTCATTTGGTAGTGAAGGATCAGCTAATGGACAGTTTAAGTATTCACATGACATTGCTATTGACAGTCAAGGATTAGTGTATGTTACTGATAAGGATAATCATCGCATTCAGAAGTTCTCTCCAGATGGAAAGTTTGTGGGTCAGTTTGGCACTGAAGGATCAGGTCCTGGACAGCTTAGTAGTCCAGGAGGTATAACAATAGACACTGCAGCTACTGGTCTAGTGTATGTTAGTGAAGGGGGCAATGGTCGTGTATCAGTCTTCACTAGTGATGGTGTGTTTGTTAGTAGTTTTGGAGATGATTTAGGTCCAGCATTATTAACATTTGATAAAAATGGATTCTTGTATGTTTGTGATTACAGTAATGACGAAATGGTCATTTACTGATTAACTGTATAAGTTTTTTCTACTTTTACTTTAAAATCTAAATTTTCCACAATTTAACTCAATTAAAAATAATTTTTTTAATTGCAATTTTTAAATTAGCCATTGGATTCAGCTTAATTTTTTTACCCAACATAACACTGCCAAAAAACACAGTTTAACCCATCGATGAATTAGAGCAGTTTTATCTTGCAGTATCTGTATAATTTAAATGTTCATTGACAAATTTGGAAAAGTAATGGTTCAAGTGATGGAGCAGTTTTGAATACCATACTTATTTATACTCAGTGATATAACAGACCATATAGCCGGTAGGACACTCTCCTCTAAATATTATCTACTCTTGTACATGTATAATTATTATAATTTATCATCTAATTGTAGCAAAGGGACAGAGTGAGAGCCATGAGCTAAAAGAACATATTTTGGATAATAGACAAAAGACTTACATATATGATCAGACTATCACACAATTTACACTATTAATGTACAAACCTGTAATGGATCCCAGTAAGACGTTCCTCTTGATACAATTATAGACATAATCATAACTAGCAGGACCCAATGGAGAACCAGTTGATAGTATAGTATGGAGAGAGGTCAATTTATGAGTATCCTCTATTAATTAATAATTATTAATAATAATCATTAATTATTGTGAGTGGGTGTTAGGGTCTTACTTGGAACAATATTTCTCTCTTCTAGTGCAGCAAGCCACCTAGCACCTGTCCCAAGTATTGTAATACTATTAAAAAACCAATATATCTTAGTATAAATCAATATATCATAGTAAAACTCAGTAAACCATACCCTAATAGATCCACATTGTTCCACAGCACATTAGGTGAAGGTATAAAAGGAGATCCATCATAAAGAACTACAGTGGCTCCAACTGATAATGAGGACACTAGCCAATTCCACATCATCCAACCAGTCTATTTATTAAAATTAACTAACTATTAATTAATAATAATTATTAGAGTTACCGTGGTGTAATAAAAGATGACGTCATTATGAGTCATGTTACCATGGAGAATGTGCTCCTTCATGTGCTGTATTAACGTACCCTAATAACAATACATGGAGTCAATTAATAGTCATTAGTCATCCATTTTTAATGAAAACTGGCCCAAGATACAGTACAGGTAACATGTACTAAAATAAAACATAATAATAAAAACCACATACATGTACATATACCATGTGTATGTACTATAGTACAGGGACTTTGGCCCAATTTTTGAGCAACTTTAAAAATTCGTAAAAAATCCAAATTTAATCAGAATCAGCTCAAACTTTCTACACAACATAAAAACATGTATATGCATCAGAAAACATTGTAAAATAGAGAATTCTCTACTTTTAATTTTTGGTGAAATTTGGCCAACGACCCTGTACTATAGTACAGGGACTTTTACTCAATTTTGGAGCAACTTTAAGAATTCGTAAAAAATCCAAACTTGATCGGAATTAGCTCAAACTTTCTACATAACATAAGTACATGTATATGCATCAGAAAATGTATTCATAAAGACAATACAGTGCAATTATAAAGATATCACATAAACTCACCCCTGCTGAGTGCACCATACATTTAGGAGACCCAGTAGTACCGGAGGAGTACATTATGAACAATGGGTGGTTGAACGGCAGCTGCTCGTATGTCAAATCAGTATTATCAGAGAGAAAATCTTCCAATAGAATGCTAATAATAAACAAAAATACACTATACATATCCTGTAATATCCTATTAATATCCAAACCTGTTCTTTACTTGAGATATATCAACAGTAGATGAACAGAATGGATGTATGATGACTTTCTCAAGATCAGGCAATCCGTCCACGACAGTTTTCAACTTGTTCAAATGATCGTGCTTTTTCCCGTTGTAACGCACGGCCTCCACTGAAAATATAACCTTTGGCTTGATCTGCTTGAATCTATCAAGAACTCCCTAAGGAAAAAGATAAACATAAACAACAACAATAATAACAACAACAACAATAACAATAACAATAATAACAAGATAATTATGATTACCTTGATAAAGTGATATTTTCATTTATTTATTCTGTGCTTACAGTAGAGCCGAAATCAGGAGATGTTGAGCTCCATATCGCTCCAATACTAGCTGTGGCCAGCATTGCTTCAACTGCAGTTGAACTGTTAGGAAGATAGCCTGAAGAGAGAGGGAGAGAGAGGGAGGGAGGGAACAGATAGAATATATAAAGAAAAGTAGAAGAGAGAGAGGAAAGGAGAGGGTAACAGTAACAGAGAAAGATGATGAGGGAGAAGACTTAGCTTAAATAGCTCACCTACAACCCTGTCCCCAATCCTCACTCCAATATCAATGAGGGCATTAGCAATCCTGGCCACCCTCTCTCTCAGCTTCATTGAAGGTAATGTATGATGGAGTAGACTGGCCCTCACCTAATAATAATAATAATAATAATAATAATAATAATAATAATAATATAATATCTATTGTTATATTAATACCTAGTGATATTAACGCTATTTTGTCCTTTTGCTGTTCGGTTCTATTCAACAGGTTTTCAGCAAAGTTGAGGTGGCAGCCACGAAACCATTCAGGGACATCTGCTATTCCTTTACTGATATCAACTACCTAATGATTAAATAATAATTAATAAATAAATAAACAATAAATAATAATTATAGTGGTGTTTACTTCATCGTAAGGTTGAGAATGTTTGATTCCTGAAAAGTGAAAAAACTCTTCCCAGAAATTAGCGTAATTTTTCACAGACCAGTCCCAAAGCTCAGCATAATCAACTAATAATAATAATAACAATAATAATAATAAATTGTACATCCATTGTGATTTCATAATGTTATTTTAACGCATCATGCATTACCTAAATGAAGGTCGTATTTCTCATTTATTCTCTTTCTAAAGAAATCCAAATGAGTATCATCGCCAGCAGGAGTCCATAAAGGAGCGTCTTCCATGATCAGAGTGTCCTAAAGGCTGTGGGCCGATCTTTTATTGGATCATTTATACAAGACTCGGATCATCAGCCAATTTTATGAGGCGATGGTCATGGGCGGGGTCTGCTCCACCCACATTAATTATATTTTTGATGCAAGTGGTTGCAGGAGCTTTCCCTTTGCAAGCATGCACAACACTACTGCTATTAAACTTTTAAATATTTTTGTGTTTTAGCGTGTAAAAATAAGGTTAATGGTTTGTTCTATGGGATATTGTTCAGCGACGGTATCTTTGACTCATTTCCATTGCTCGAGAATCACTTCTCCTCCAGGTCTGTGCTGAACTCGTATGAAACTGTACAGTCCCTAATTAGAATAATAATAATAATAATAACAATCATCACAATAGCAGCTGCTATATTGTACTTGATTTCCTCTTCTTGCAGCAGCATCCACAAATACAAATGATGATGGATATAAAGACCACAGCTACTATCAAACCTCCAACTGATGCCCCAATTATTATTATCAGCAAACGAGTAGCTAAAGAAAGAACAAATAAGTACATAACAATGGACCAACAAGCTCAGTATTGCAATTAAATTATTTGATTAAAGTGCATGATGGATTACAGTTGCAGTGGTATCTTACATTCTTCTTCTGTAGGTGCTTCAGTAACATTCACAGTTACATTGAATGGTCCTAATCTTGTCAATTCTGAGTATCCATGCTCATTGATGGCAAATACTTCTACATAATACATCATTCCACCATTCACTGGTATAGAGACACTTCTGTTGGTATTATTAGTGTAGTCTGTGTATTCATAGGCCTGAGTGTATAGTTCACTTCCTTGGTCTGTCTCCACTGTCATGTTAAAGGAGAGACTGCTTCCTGCTAGTATCCCTGCATACTGGCACAGTAAAGAAGCACTGATTAGTCCTGGGCTAGTTGAGACTGCTACCACTGGCCTGGAAGGTTTACCTACATTACATGCAATTGATAGATAAAATGAAAACAGAGCTTAAAGTATTCTGACCTATTACTGGGACAAGGTTCTGTCTTAAAGTAGCACCTCCCACTAAATTATATGCATTCACAAAGCAGTAGTATTGGCTTCCTGCAGTAATAGGACCAAGTGAAAAACTGGCCATGAGTCCAGCATCAAAGCATCTTTCTTCACAAGAGTATGTGAAAGTATTGGCATAATTCATATTGTGATCTCCACTGCCACTGCCTAAGCCATAATCCATGTCTGTTGAGCAGTAGGCATCTATTGATACTGCATCATTTCCAGCACCTCCAGTGTGTCTCAATTCTAATGCTATGTTAATATTGGCATTGGGTAGCGGTGTAATTGCTGTAGTTCTGAATTCTGGAGCTATTATTATAAATAAAAAAATAAAAAGATTTTTAAATATGGGATTTAACTTACGTCCATCAGTTGTTGTGAAACTAAGACTGGTCTCATTCCCTCCTTCAGGATAAGCAGAAGACACAGCTGCTACTGATACAGAGTATTGGGCAGTAGGAGAAAGGCCATTAATTGATATACTAGTATCAGCAGTAACAAATGGATTGCCTGGTACTGGTGGATTGATCATAACTATATATCCAGATAATTGTGGTAATCCAGTATCAGCAGGCTCCATCCACTTGATAGAAACAGAATTATGAGTGACATTGGACTCTTGCAGGCTCAATGGAGTTCCTGGCTGCACTGTAGTTATAACAACATAAAGTAATTAGCAACAGATACACAACATACCTGCTTCAGTTAGAGTTATGACTGACGAAATGTTGCCAGCTATGTTTATTGCATATCCAGTATAAGAGCCAAAATCGTCACTATCAACATTCATTATTATCAACTTCAATGGATGAGACAAGTCATATTTGCTTGCATCAGAGAGAATATCTCCATCAAAATACCATTCAACCCTGGGAAAAGGATTGCCTGACAAGTTGCTGAACAGTGTCAAAGTGATATTATCACCAATCCTTCCATAAGCAGCAGTGTCAACTGGGATACCGCTAGGAGCATCTAAAAAACAATGAATTATTTTTTATAGTACATTTTTATTGAAGCTCTAAAGCAATGCTTACACTGTACATTAAGTGTAAAGGTGGCACTCAAATTTCCACTAGCATGGTTCAAAAAGAAGGTATAGTTTCCTGACATGTTTCTCTGGGCATTACTAATCCAGAGTGACGTATTTGTTAGTATGAAGCTGTTAATATCTCCATTGTAGCCCAGTGTATAAAATGGAGGAAATGGATTACTGCTTTGGCTAACTAGTGTAATCGTTTCGCTTTCTCCTTCAGTGACATTAACAGTTGATATATCTCCAATCAAAGTAGGGGGATCTGTTATAAAGTAAACACACTTATAAGGAATACACATATATAGCTTACTTAAGATACCAATCACAAATCTCTCAAGCACAGTCCCAGGCATTGGACCGCAACTGAAGATTGCTCTATTGTAGTATTCAGTAAAAGCAAGTACAGTGAGGTTGGTATCACCACCAGAAATCATGAGAGATAAAGAAGGATCGTCTGACAAGCCATTGGTGTCATTAAATGAGAGATCAAACTGGCTGCCGTTTATTGTAGATAAAGACCAGACAGGAGGCACTATATCTCCGGTTTGGTCATTGGTGATGTTACAGAAGATGGATTGACTCTGACCAACAGTAGCTATAACATAAACAGCATCTTGTCCCGGGAGCCTACTGGGTGTACTAGTGTAAGAATAGTTAGCCTGAGAGAAGGAGAGACGGAGGAAGAGAGAAAAGGCTACGGCCTTCAAAAGCAACATCTTCTGCAAAATTGAGCCACGCCCTGGTTCTGCACAAAATGTATATGGGCGTGGTGGTTTAGTATGGGCGTGGTCAAAATGTCTGGACTAGTACATCAACTTGTACACCAGGCAAGGAGGACATTCTCAAGAGAGAAGACGCTCCCAGAAGAAATGGAGAAGTTAAAAAAGATAGTAATGACATTTATCTACTGTTTTTGTTAGTTTTAGCTTGTTTTTGATGTGTTTAGATGTCACAGATAACTCCTAAAGATTTCAATCTTGATTCCACTGCCATTGACAAGCCCTGGGATTACCCTCCATTCGTAACTGATGCACCTGCAGCTTTCATGAACGTTTATGAATGCTCAGAGTTTAACGTAGCCATATTCATGCTCAAAGCAAACAAGGAGATGCCACTCCATGATCACCCAGAAATGCACGGATTAATGTAAAGGAATGAAGATGGACTCTCGCTTATTTCAGCATATTATTCATTTTAGGAAGATACTATCTGGTTCTATGTGTGTGACATCGTATAACAGACCAGAAAAGAGAGGCAGCAACAGTTACATTGCAAGATTCTTTCGCAGCATCCTTGCAACACCAGCCACAGAGCCGTGTCACTTTACCCCAGAGGAGGGGAACATTCATCAAATCAAAGCTCAAGAGTATGTCTCTTGCTTTTTGTTGTTTTATTGCAATTTCTTGTTAGCTCTCATGTTGCTTTTCTAGACATTCTTGCTCCTCCTTATGCACCTGAAGAAGGAAGGGACTGTACTTATTATTTCAAAGATACCAAAGTAGATCTAAAAATATATTCTGTAGTATATATTATATTTCTTTTATCATGCATAGCAAAGTAATCAAGATGAAAAGTGAGTAGTTTATTAATGAATAAGTATTGATATCTCTCAATGTAGTTTAATATGGCTGATATCAGGGCAAAATCCATCATGGTTCTCTTGCATACCTCAGGTAATAAGAATATGTTATTATTTATGATGTTTCGTTTTTCTATAGCCATACAACGGGCCCAAAGTTGATTAACAAAATTTACAGAGCATCATGATCATTAAACAATACCGTATTATATTCTAATTGTTGGTTTTGTATTAAATATTTCGTTGTTATGGTAACTGAATAATATCACTTGTGGGGCAGCAGGAGATACACGATGAGTGTCACTACTAGCAATACACTACTGGCAGAAAGTTTAGAGAAGCCAGTACTAATAGCTGACCCTGATCAAGACAAGAAGGACTTGCTGCTAGAAGAGCTGGTGGAGCAGGGAGAGAGAGGGAATGCAATGGCTCAGTTCTCACTTGCAAAAATATTTCTATCTCAAGGACAGACAGGGAAAGCAATGTCATACTTGACATCAGCAGCAAGACAAGAAGATGCACAAGCACTGTATGAGCTGGCTGTGATTAGGTATCAGGGTCTTCAAGGGACTGAAGCATCATCAGTAAGATCACCATAAAAGAAGCATACCATATTTATGAGTTGATATTATGTTTACACAGGAAGAAGGTTTTAAGTTAATGCTTAAAGTTGCTCAATGCAAGGGAGCTAAAAACACAGACCTGGTATCAGCAGCACAATTTAACATTGGTAGAGCATACTTTCAAGGTAATGAAGACAAGTAATGTAATCACATGGAGATTGTATAGTAACCTTTTAATTGATGGCTGGTATAGGATTTGGTGTTAAGCAAGATCCAGAGGAAGCACTAAAATGGTGGAAGATATGCTCAAACTCTGACACAGAGTCTGGAGTACGAGCAATGAACACTCTAGCATTATTCTACTCAACACCAGACTATGCTGATAAAGAAAAGGTCAGTAATGATGGTATTTAACTATTATTATACTAAAAGCAAAATAACAGGCTTTCTCGTGGCATGTTAAAGCAGCAGAGAATGGCCACAAGGACTCCATGGGGACACTCGGGCTATTGTACATGAGAGGAGAAGGATGTCTAGAAGATAGAGAACTATCGTTGAAATGGTTAAAGAAATCCTCAGACAATGGATCTATATATGGGTCCGGCTTACTTGCAAATTATTATTACTCGACTAAAATGTACAGCAAAGCCGTGGAAGTTGCACAAAGGTACAGCCTCCAAGATATCCTCATGATTATAATGATTATTTTAAAAGTGTTTGCGATGATGTAGCAGCAAGCAGAGCAACTAAGAGTCAAAGTGTTACCAGTTTAATATCAGAAGGACTAGCTACTGCTCATTTTATATATGCACAATGTCTATTTCTGGGCCAAGGAGTCACAAAAGATGTTGATAAAGCAGCCATTGAATACACTAAGGTAACCTAAATATACTTATATACATGTAGCTTGCTTTATCAATTTCATTACAGGCCACTCAAACTAACAAGGTAGTAACTGCTCAGCTCCATTCTAAAATGATGTATGGAAGACTTTAATCATTATTATTATTATTATTATATCTAATGAATTAATATTGAAAAATCATAATAATTATCCTTGGCCATTGATACACACTATGCATGTAGGTAGTGATAATTATTGAAACTGCAGTATCTCCAGATGAGCCTCATTTCAATGACAGACTAAAGTACATGTATACTGTACATGTACATGCATGGGTTGCTAAAATTTATAATTTCACTGTAAGTGAATAAGATTTTTTTTTTGCAATTTCACTAAAATTAATATGAAGAATAAGATACTTTTGAAATGATTTCTGCCTTTACTAATCGTGTTATAATTGTTTGATGATAAAATAAACATCCGCAAATAGTACTGCCAATCCAAAAACAAGACCAGTTGCAAAGCACTAGGAGGAAAGAGTAGAGAGAGAAAGAGACATAAAAATGGAGGTATGACTTTGGTTGTTGATATTCCTTACAGCTGTGGAGTCCATCCCTGCATAATAAGCTGCAAAATATCCGAAAATAAACGACCCAACGACAGTAAGGAAAAAGTTGAACATTACTAGCAGCTGCCGATGAGTCGCTTGAACTAAAAATAAAATAAAATTAATAAAAATAAAACTTATAGCGGCTAACCATCTAATTTTATATCTTTTAATGTTTCGTCTTTTTTCTAAAATGTACAACAAAAAATTATTATTATTATTATTATTTAATTTTTACTTGTTTTCCAAAGACCATCTTATTGTACTCTGCATTTTCAAGAGATGCCTTGATTGTCTCGAGCCTCGCAACCAGCTCAGGATTCTAAAATTACAACAATTTTATTTTATTCTATGGGATTACAACTGTAATTATATGGCTTACTCTGGGTGGAGCCTGTTGCCTTGGAAACACAATCCGACTACCTTGAAGCAGCTCGTGAATAAAAGGTGATTTTCCGTCTATAGTAATCCCGTAATAAATATTGAATTAATATTTCTCACTCACCCAATGGAGTTTCCTTCAATTGCTTCTTTATTTCTTTGACTGTGGAGAATTTTATGACCTTGCAATCACAGACCACTCCTTCTTTGAACTCAACCCCAGTCTCTCTCTCCCTCCATCCCTCCAGCTCCCTGGACAGTGGCTTAGGAAGACTCTCTCTGTTTGCTGAAGACAGAAGATGATCAATCACTCTCTCCAAATATGGAGTAGCTTCCACTAACTGATAGCAATAGATGTCAGCCATTTTTGAAGGTGTGGCTGAAAAAAAATTGAAAGCACCACATGGTTTCCGTCCACTGCCGGATATTTCTAAGCCCTCTAATTTTATAGGCGTGGTTTGGGTGCAGTTAGTGGGTGTGTCAAAGGCGTTTCTTGTCTGTGGTTGAAGGGTGTTGCTCGATATGGAAGTTTCATGAGTTTTGTCTTTGCTGAGTTGCTAAGGACTACTACAGGTGTATAACAGGAAGAAGAGGTTCCCTTATCTCTCCTTTAGGCGCGTAAATCCCCTCTCAAATGAGGTGGCCAGGACTACACGGCGGTTTTATACTAAGGATCCTCAAAAGAAACAGAAATGTGACGAGAAAAGCTCACCCGACCCTTCTTTCTCACCTCTCTCGACCTCTGAGCACCTCTTCCGCTCTCTATGCTACCAAGGGACCGGATTTTGATGACACCAGCCTCTCTTATGGCGGTAAATCCATGAGACAACTTCTCAGAGCATTCCTCGTCTATCAACTCTTCTCCTTCAACAGCATTGTGGATTCAAGCGAGAGGGTACGTTGCATTTATGAATAAAGTCCTCCCTGCTGCTGAGAATGCAACATTATCCACATGTACATGTACCTAGTCAATACATGTACAATTGTATTAAAATTGTTATTTTAACGGATTTTGTCTTATCCACATGTATACACAATGCTTGCTGCTCTGTACTAATAAGTAATTATGATAAAGGCTGGCATTATTAGCACATACATGTACATGTACATGTATATTACTTTTTGATTTACTTTGCAGCTGCTGAAAGTCGCCAAAAAGATACTTGGGCAGTCTTTATTCAGGAAACTCATGAAGTGGACGATATATGGGCAGTTTGTCGCCGGAGAGGATTTGAAAACACTCCAGCCGGCAATGAAGCACCTACAGAGCCGAGGGGTTCGATCAATACTTGACTACGCCGTGGAGGACGATGTACAGAACAGTGAAGTGTACATGGAAGTCAGGTAGTACATGTACATGTACTGTAATGTAATAATTGTAATTGTATATAAATTACATTACATTACATAATATATATTATAGTCATACTACTACAGTCTATAGTATTGGTGTGTTTGGTTGTAGGTAGTGATTGTATTGTGGTATGATGAGTCTATAGTATTTGAATAAAAGCACATTCATTATTTTCTTGTACTTCTACTACGTGTTCTTTGTTGTTTTTTTGTAGACATAAAGCTAAGCCTCCTTCAGACACCCCTCACGTAACAACTGGTAATGAATAATAATAATGAATTGTTATTTATGATAATCCCTCTCTCTGTCCTCTTTCATTAGATGAGGACAGGAGCCCTCAGTTTAGTGTATCCACTACCCCAGGGAAGGCAACTGTCACATCCAGCGCTAGGACCTACTTCTACCAAGACGAGCACAAGTGTGATGAGAATATGGAGAATTTTATAAAGTGCATCAAAATAGCAGGTAAAGCAGTATGTTATAGATTTACATGTTAACTTGATATCTTTATCATCAGCTGATGCTAGTGATGGTGAAGATGCTTTTGCCGCCATCAAACTAACTGGACTTGGAAGAACAGAATTTCTTGTAAGCACAATAACTCAGTACAGTAACACGTATAAGTCCATTGTACTAGTGATTAGTGACACATATTTTTAATTTAAACTTTTCTCTTTGTTGTTGCAGCTGCGTCTGAGTGAAGCTCTTGTTGGCAGTGAGAAAGTCTTTTCCATACTAGCTGACAAACCAGATCTACTTGAAGGAGTCATTACGTCGGATTCTTTTTTAAGAGGAGCTGAAAGAATGAAAGTAAAAGAGAAAGAGAGAGGGAGAGTCAATAATGATGACATTTTTTCTTGTTAGATTGATTCCAGGGAGCTACATGTACCACAACTGTTTGATAATTTAAGAGCCAAAGGTCAAAGGTACTGTACCAGTTATATTTCAATTTGTATTGTATTCTTCTTATTTGAGCAGTGACTCTATTTCATTCCTCCAATGGTATCATTCATTTCAACCTGGTAAAGAGCTGTACAGGATTCTCAGCACCAAGAAAGTACATAATACAACTCCTCATTCTCTCTTTATGTACAACACTGTCTGTGGTTTAGTTCTCCTCCAGTCAGCCCAAACTCCCTGTGATGTCAGATAACGAAAAAGACCAGATGAAGAGTGTCATGAGGAGGGTAGAGTCGTTAGCTGACGTGGCGCAAGAAAGAGGAGTGAGATTAATGGTGGACGCTGAACAAACTTACTACCAACCAGCAATCCGTCACATCACTGTACACAGACTCATGCCTAAGTATAACATGCAATCTCCTGTTGTATATAATACACAGCAGTGTTATCTTAAGGTACATGTACACGTGCAATGATATTTAATAATTATTTGTTTAGAATGTTGATACAAGTGTTGCGCTTGATTTACTGACGTCTGAGACAAGCGGTTTCCATTATGGCGTCAAACTGGTTCGAGGTGCTTACATGGAGCAAGAGAACATGTTAGCCGTCAATAAAGGTAAGCACCCTCCCTCCCTCCCTTTTACAGAAGATGTACATGTACATGTACATTTTACGTTTCATCAAGGACAGTAATAATTGTTAGTTTTTTCTAGGATATGATAGTCCAATATGGCGGAATAAATCAGAAACCGACTTGAGTTATCACAAGGTACTAGAAGGACTAATGGAAAGAATGGTGACGACGGACCGTGGGAAAGTTAATGTGATGGTCGCCACTCATAATGAAGAAAGCATCAAGTTTGCCATCAGCAAGTAAGCCCTGAAATTTTGATGGACAATGAGTACAAAATTTTGCATGTTACGGTAATAATTTTATCACAGGATGAAAGAGTTGAAAGTAGGCAAAGAGAACATTGCATTTGGTCAGTTACTAGGAATGTGTGACCACGTCACTTTCTCACTCGGTAAGTATAATCAGCCCCGCCTATTTACATGTACCACGCCCACTTTAGGTCACCATGGTTACAACGTGTACAAGTACATGCCTTATGGATCTGTGGAGGAGGCACTGCCTTATCTCCTTCGGAGGGCAAATGAAAATAAAGGAATGCTTGCAGGGGCAGTGAGGGAGAGAGAACTGCTCTGGAAAGAGATAAGGAGAAGATTCAAAATGTAACGAATTTGAAATTTTATTTTAGTCGCTGCAGTCCTAATTGTAATTTATTATTCCAGCTGCATCATCATTTATGATTATTATTCCATCACCGCTGTTATTGTTATTATTTATTTTTTGTTGTTATTCTTAATTTTTGCTTTGATGGCAGTACAAATTTATTATTGGGTTAATATTTCTCAAAACTTTTATTGTAATTATTATTATTGAATTTAAAACTACATGAAATATCTTTGCAATGACACAATAAGTCTCTCTATTGATACAGAAGTAAAACTAAAGGACGCTGCTGTGTTCTTCTATTTTAAAAGTTTCTGTTGTAGTGATCCACTCTACTTGTTCCTCTTTGATTGGTTCGGCCATCGTCCTCTCTACGTACGTTACAGTTCCCTCGTGATCGACCAGTATCACTGTATTGGTCCTGCAATAGTAATAATAATGTCAATTGCAATGCATTGCCTGCTTTATATAATACATGTAGGTAAATTAGTAGCTGAGCATGTAAAGAATAAATCACATTTAAGTGGTAATTTTAGCATCAGCTTGCCGATTGCCGAAAATAAAAATCTCCCCATTTTCTTCACTAAACAATAGCTATTGCTACACTTGCCTGGTTCCATATCTAACTCCGGGTGCTTTTACAAATATCGAACTGAAAGCTTTCATTAGAAACTCTGGATGAGAAGTGTCGTGCATCTCTGGGTCCGGATGGTAACTAGGGGGAGGAGCATTGTTACCAAGGAGCATCTCCATAGCAACTCACCAAGTGTCGTCTCCTAGCAACGAGAGTAGCTCTGACACGAGGTCATCTTTGCTGAGGCCGGAACTGATTATCTCTTTAAATTTCTTTTTTCCTTCTTTAACTTTCATCCAGGGAGAATCAAGCAAAGAGTTACTGAGGCCGTAGACTCCGCCCAGAAGGGGACACGCCCCCTCATCACTACGGTTACTGCAATACACCATTTCTTTGTTATTACTATATGAAAAAGGAAAGGCGTTGTCATGACAATAGTACCCACGTATTGACGTACCCCAGGGATCCAGTGATGAGATTGAAGCCGTCATACTGTGAGGAATTGGACATCAAGGTTGATGAGTAATTGGTGGGTGTGGTCTCGCCTAATAAATAATTTAGGACTAGCGTACCTAAAAATTACAAATATACATGTACATAGCTGATTCCGATCAATATTGGATTTTTTATAAATTTCGTGACAATGGAACTAATGGGTTTTTGCTTGTCATGGATTTCGTGACAATGGAACTAATGGGTTTTTTAAAAGTTAGGTTTGAAGTACAAGCCACACCATTAAGACCACACCCACCTCTGCTTATCCCTTGAAACTCTGGTGCATTGAAGTCCTTCCGATAATTAGTTAAAACAGCAAAACGTCCTCTCCTAGAGAAACCAAGCCAGGACCCACCATTGAGACCATCCTTACCTGTAAACAACAACAAACAACAACACAGTATATAATTATATAATAATAAATAAATATGTATAAATATTTATTTGTTTAATTATACCTGCAATGATGTGAGAGGCAGGATGGGGCCAGAAGTGAGCTGGGAGCGTGTTTCTGTCGTAGAACTCATCTCTATTGACGGCAACTATCAACTGGTAGGTACCTGATCCGTCAGGATTGTACTCTAAAAATACAATACACATTTTTAAGAAAAATAATTATTATAATTAATTTTATTAAAAATTATTATTATTTTATTGGTGGGAGGAGTTTTGTAGGTGTTGCCAAATAAAAATGGCGGATCTGTGAAAGTAGATTTTTTTCTGGTGTCTCTCTTTGCCCAGTCATACAATTGTATTATCGTACTGATAGGAACTGGATTTAAATTTATAAAACAGGTAAAGGATGAATACTATTATTTTGCAATAGAAGTAATGTATCGGAAAATGTAATAAAAATTGGGGGGTCATTTTAGAGCCATTATTGGAAAACCATGGGCTATAATAGTATAGGGTATTTTTCTGAAATTTGGAGTTTTTTAAAAATGGTCGTAACTTGAGAAATTGAAGTCGGAATTCGCTCAAACTTTCTACGTAGCATAAGTACATCAATATGTATCAGAAAATGTAATAAAAATTGGGGGTGATTTCGGAGCCATTTTTTGGAAAAAAACCATGGGCTATAGTACAGGGAAATTTTCTGAAATTTGGAGTTTTTAAAAAGTGGTCATAACTCGAAAAATTGAAGTCGGAATCAGCTCAAACTTTCTACGTAGCATAAGTACATCAATATGTATCAGAAAATGTAATAAAAATTGGGGGTGATTTCGGAGCCATTTTTTGGAAAAAACCATGGGCTATAGTACAGGGATTTTTTCCGAAATTTGGAGTTTTTAAAAAATGGTCATAACTCGAAAAGTTGAAGTTGGAATCGGCTCAAACTTTCTACACAGCATAAGTACATCAATATGTATCAGAAAATCTAATAAAAATTGGGGGTGATTTCGGAGCCATTTTTTGGAAAAAACCATGGGCTATAGTACAGGGATTTTTTCCGAAATTTGGAGTTTTTAAAAAATGGTCATAACCTCGAAAAGTTGAAGTTGGAATCGGCTCAAACTTTCTACACAGCATAAGTACATCAATATGTATCAGAAAATCTAATAAAAATGGAGGGTGATTTCGGAGCCATTTTTTTGGAAAAAACCCATGGGCTATAGTACAGGGATTTTTTCTGAAATTTGGAGTTTTAAAAAATGGTCAAACTCGAAAAGTAAAGTGA